AAAAGACACAAACACTGATTAAAAAAGATACCTACACTCCCATATTTATTGCTGCTTTATTTACAATTGGAAAGACATGGAAACAGCCCAAATGTCCAAGAGTAGATGACTGGATTAAAAAGATGTGGTACATCTACACAATGGAATATTACTCAAAAAAAAGAAACACATGTCTTTCGCAGCAACTTGGATGGAGCTGGAAAAGATCATGCTTAGTGAGATAAGCCAGAAAGAAAAAGAAAAATACTGGATGGTTTTGCTCATAGCAGGAGTATAATGGACCAGGCAAGAAAATAATAAGAATAATAAACAGCCATATACCAGAGACATTTTGTGGGGGTGGAGTGGGGAATCGGATCAAAAACAGTGGGCAGAGGGAAATGCACTAGACTATGGTGATGGCACAAGGGTGATTTGGTGATGGGAGGCCCAAGGGGATTACAACTGAGATGGAAAAATGCACAAAATGATGTAAAAACAAACTATTATATATTATTCATTAAAAAAATAGCAGTTTTATTAGGAAAAGAAGTGTGGACTTCTAGTGAGTCCAAGACCTGGGATGCGGCAGTGAAGGAAATCAGACACGGGCGACTGCTGCAGTGAACCTCCCTTGTTTCAGTGCTCATTGTATACCATTTCAAGTGCATTAAGTGTAACTTGAAAACATACCATACGACACTTACCTACGTGATTGATTACTCTGTATTACAATACTCTGCTACCCTGACACAGACACCTAGTCACTGTGTGGCCTAAGTGTACATGTCTATCAATCCCTTCTGTCCAGAAAATGATTCTTTTTAAGCAACTAACTACTAACCATCTACTTCTGGGAGCAGAGGGGCCTGAGCTACACAGGTCGCTTTCCGGGCACTCCTATCAGGGCCCCATCACCCAGAGGTTTTCCTCCAGGGCACATGCGTTTTCTCTCTGCCTTTGGAGCTTAGTGTTGAGGCTCAGTCATTCGTTGTACCGAATCTGCCAGTAAAGAAGAAAGGAAAAGAGTGACACCTGCATAGACACAGGCAGACAGAGCTTCTGCTGCTTCTTTGCAAGGCAAAAGTTTTGTGAGAAGAAAAGTCTGCGTAGTTACAGGCCGGCAGGGGAGCCGTAGTCTGGCTCTTGATCAGGGCATGTCTTCTCTCAAAGCCTGAGGCTCACTGCCACGGTTATGGGCAGGGAGAAAAGTGGGAAGAGCCCACTGCAAGGAGCTAACTGCCCACTGCATGCTTAGCAGGTCCAATTCTCTACAGGATATGCACTTGACTTCCTAAGCCTAGAATTTTCTTTCTTTCTTTCTTTTCTTATTTTACTCTCCCATCCTGTGTCAGCTGAAATGTCCTATCTCAGAGGGAACTTCCACCAGGGAGGGCCCATTGCGCCACCAGGGAGGGCCCATGTTCTCACAGATCTTACACGCACACATATACACACAGGTATATTTGTTATACCTATGAGTATGTATTTAAAAGTGTTTAAAGTGATTTTCTTCCTAAGAGAAAAGCTCTACAAGGTGTCAGACCATGTTGTTTATTACTGTACTAGTCCACTGGTTAAGGACTCAATACAAAGCACTGAATTATAAAGATCAGAGATATTTAAACTGATGATGACAAGACTGACGCATCCATGTGGCTGTTTCTTTAAGGAATTGGGCCTTGAAATATGTGTCACATGAAGCGATTGTCAACTTTTCTGCCTTTCCATTCATACAGTGACAATTCTCCGTGACTTATATCGTACTGAATATCCAACACCTAACACAATGGCTGGTACAGAATATGCTGTAATTCATGCATGGAATGGAATTGAATTATGGAATTGAAATTTGAGAGCCCAAATTGGGTTAGCAGTAGGGAAATTGGATAGAAGAGGTGGCTTTAGATTGGATTAGCAACATACTGAATTTGTACAACCTTACCCCTCAGATTTAAATATGCACATTGTAAAATAATCCAGGAATCAATAAATAATAAACTATTTTTTCCCTAACAAATGGAAAATTTTATTGTATGCACAGAAGAATAAAGATATTTATATCTTAGGTGGTATAACATGGTGCAAAACTTGGTTATAACTCAGCAGTTGTCCTGTTGGGATTCAGGAAGAAACTTGATGAGAAAGAATGAGGTATCTGAGCAATTTTGAATTATGGAGAAAACACAATGAAAATAACAATGACATTTTAATCCCCATTTATTGAATTATCACATTCAAGAAAATATTTATGGGTTTTTTTTTATTAGTAACCACATTTGTTTTGTAAACAAAACATCTTAAGGCATTAGACATATAGTGGTGAGGAGATATAAAAGGAGACCTTCATATTCAAGGTCTGTGAACTGACCGCTTAATCCATGAATATTCCCCAAAGTCCATGTATAGGTTGTGGTAGCTGAACTTACTTCACCTTCTATAATCATCACAGTATATGCAGTATATTATTTGTGCATCAAATCTTATTTTGACATGTGGTATGAAATGTAATCTTTCCATATAGAAAGAAAAATTAAGGTGTGATGTGATGTGACCTTTAAGAACATAGTTTCAGGCCCTGCCTGGTGGTGCAGTGGGTTAAACACAGCACTAAGAAACTAAAGCCACTTAGTCATGAGTTCGATCCCCACCCTCCCTGGAGGTGACCACATGGTGCAGCAGACCTC